TGTCGACTGAGGCGGACTGAAGGTGAGTGCAGAGCTACAGCATACCGGTGAGGTTAAGGATGTGCAGCTTTGCTGGGCCTGAGAAGGGTTCAAGATATCGGAGCTGATTGTGGCCGAGGTCAACATGGGAGAGGAGCCGGGCCTGGGAAAACGCCTGGTCAGACAGGTCCTGAAGGGACATATGATCCAGATAGAGGTGTGTCAGCTTCCCCATCGACACTGATTCTTCTCCCAGGTATGTGATGGGGTTGTAGCTCAGCTCCAGCCGTTTCACCTCACGGAGCCTAAAAGGGAAGAACCAATCTAGTGTTAATCTATCTCTCTTAAATAATCAAGTTAAAGTTTATAATTTTTCTAAAATTACTGAAACTCCCTCTGTGTTCGGGTCATGGTACTACATTAGTGTACGACCTTGTCATTGTCTGGGTGGGGAAGAACTGCAGCTCGTTGTGATCCAGGCTGAGGCGTCTGAGACTGAACAGCCCAGCGAAGGCTTCAGGTGCCAGGTTACTCAGGGAGTTGTAGCTGAGACGAAGCCACTTAATGTTCTGTAAGCCCTAAAAGAGCACCAGTGTTACAATTGAATAATGCTTCTAACTGCATGAGTGCTTAAACTGCTTTTAATTCCATCAGTGCATTTAAGTACCTGAAATGCCATATTGGGGATGTAAACCAGACGGTTGTGGGCGAGGGTCAGCATGTTGAGAAAGCCGAGCTGCATAAAGGCTCCAGGCTGGATCTCCTCGATGTGATTATGATCCAAGTGAAGCTCCTTCAAAGATGAGAGGCCATCAAAAGATTCCTGTAAAGAAATAAAGCAAATGTTACTTTTTGGTTCCAACTCAGATTAAATGCAAAGAAGGAACCATGTTTTTCCTTTTTCCCCTTCTCATCTCACCTGGTAAAGGATGTCGATTTTGTTGTAAGCCAGGTTAAGGGAGACCACTCGACCAAGACCACGAAACGCACCCTCTTTAACCTTGAAGATGTTGCACCTCTGCAGACTAAGGTGGGTCAGATGCGGAGTGTGGAGGAATCCACCTCTGGGTAAAATCCGGAAGTTGTTGTTCTTTAGATCCAATTTAACGGTTATCTGTAGGAATAATACGTTTTCAGTCCATTTTACTCTTAAAAGTCTAAATACTGAAGTAAATATGCAACCTACTAAAAAAGTGGATGGATGTTTTTGATGGTATGAAAAGGTGAACAAAAAGATGGTATTATACATGGATGTCAGAAATATGCACTGATGGATGTTGGCCAAATGGACGATGGAAGGACAAGCAGAAAAATGCTAATAGGTAGATAATAGTTAACAGGGAAACTTTTGATCAAAATAAATGTACATTTTCAAACAAGACGGATGCAGAGGTAGCTAGAGCACCCAAAAATTCTCTTAAACAAGAGGAATATTACTTTAACATGTATTTATTAGTAAATCGTAGCTATTTAAGAAATTACTCAAGTAAAAATAAAAAAAAGTAGCTGGAAAAATGGATACTCAAGTAGTGAGTAACTGTCGGCTCATAGCATCTGATTTGATATTTAAAATGATGTATAAACAGTTATGTTAGAATTATACTACAATTTGGTATACCAAGACCTCACGCCATAAGAACTGTTTCTTCCCAACCGCTACCAGCCTTATCAACAAGGCCCAGAGACCCCCGTGACCATCGGCATCGGCAGACCCTTTTTACTGGGAGTGGTGGCCTAGTGGTTAGGGCATAGGGCTTGGAATCTTGAGGTTGTGAGTTTGATCCCCCACTGCCACTCTGGCTCCCTGAGCAAGACCCTTTCTGCTCTCAAAGCTCCACTCTCATAGTCTGCTCTCACAACGGAGTTAAGAGAGGAGATCTTTCCAAATTAAGCCAGTCACAATTGATCGACAGCTTTGCTCCCTGGGCGCCTCACTGCTCCCCAAGGGGGTGGGTTAAATGCAGAGCAGTAATTTCCCTCTGGGATTATTAGAGTATAGAAAATAAAAAAAATAAAAATCAGATTGTGGTGCCTGGGGCACTAATTTTTTTTTTTAATTAAATAATTTTCCGCTCTCAAAGCTCCACTCTCATAGTCTGCTCTCACAACGGAGTTAAGAGAGGAGATCTTTCCAAATTAAGCCAGTCACAATTGATCGACAGCTTTGCAAAAATTAAGCTGAGACGCTACCGTTTACTGCAAAAAAAAATTAACATGCAGCTCTCCCATCTTTCTGGCCATAACATACACACCTCATAGGATCATCACCATCAAACCATCATAGGATGGGCCAAAATAGAAATGATAAACATAGACATGTATGTATATACAGGTGTTTTTTTGTTTTTCCTTTTACATTTGCACATTTCAAGTTTTCAGTTTACAAGTAAATTTTGCTGACAGATATTTAATGTAGATAAATTGTGCCTTCATCAGTGGGGGATTAGAGATATACAATTAATTTCACAAGTGGACCAATTCAATTCAGTTTGGTTCAGGTAGATATTCAATGATGCAGAAAATAACAATCTGATTGTACAATTTATGCATGATATTTTATAATGATAAATGCTATAAAATATTTGCTTGCACACTTGCATTAATTATCTGTGCCTATGCTTTTTACAAAAAAAAAAAAAAAAGCCCAAAAATTCTTCTTTTTCCCCTGTATAGTATTGGGTCAGCTGACGCCCCTGCCCATGACACTGTCACAGCCTCTCTCCCTCTCCCGTTCAGGACCTGCAAGCTACAGCTGTGTAGCATCTCCAGATCCCCTGCGTTACATTAATGCAGTCTACTGTGTATATAGTATATAGCTATATAGTATATATTGTAAATATTATATTGTATAAATAACTAATTTGTCTGTACCATCAACACCAAGTCAAATCCCTTGTGAGTGCAAACCTACTTGGCAATAAACTTGATTCTGATTTAATACAAAGAAAATACAATTAACATAATTAAATATAAAACATTTGAGCAGAATAAACTCAAAATTGTTCAAAAGAAACTTACAGATACCTATCTTTACAGTACATAATGCATGTATGTTGAAGAGGGATAAAGAAATCAAATAACAACTTACTCCTGCTGAGTAACCAGAAATTTTACTCAAGTAAAAGTAGTGATACTCTTGCAGTATTACTTAAGTATGAGTAAAAATAAACTACTGCTTAAAGTCTTTCTAAAAATTTCTCAAATAAATGTAACTAGTTACTACCCACCTACTAACTAGTTAGACTGACTGTGGATGAATTATTAGTATTTTCCAGGTTAAGTTATTTTAAAATTGGAGACTTTTCTGTAGTGGAAAAAGATTGTTTACCAAACAGGGTCTGGTATCAGCACAGGGAGGAAAATCAACCAATTAAAATATATCTTTCTGCATTTTCCATCCAAACCCTCAGGATTACCCAATAAATAAATTTTTAATCCTAACCCCTGCTTATTTGATTCAGTTTCTAAGCCAAGCAAACAGCAGACTCGGAAAAGGGTTGGAATTCCTCACCTCCTGCACACCCAGGGGAATCTCCGTCAGGTTTTTACCAATGCAGGCCACCGTCAGCTTGGCGTCATCACAGCTGCACTCTTTGGGACATTTTCTGGCTTTGATGGTTGAGCTCAGAGCTAAAGTGAGCAGGAACACGACAGCAGGGAACTGCATCTATGCCAGAAGAGTGCATTAGAATATTAAAACATCCGAGATTATTCTGGAAATCACTGTCTCATAGAATATTCCCTTTTTGGTTCTTGGAAATGTGAAAACTCCAGACATTTCTTTCTGTGGTACTTAAAGTCGATCTGCAATGTGCCGCTACAGCTTGAACTCAAACCTTTTTTTCTTCAGTTCCTTTACTCTTATTATTTGAAAAAAAAAAATACAAGTTTTAATTTATGGTTTATAAACTTGCCATGCACACATAACTATCCAAATGGCAGCTCTAAAAGTAAAGAAGACACAAAGCTAAAGTAAAGCCAAAACAAAATTAGGTGCAAATTTTAAAGAACAATAATAACAAACAGTAGTGTCTCTTACCTTGGAGTCCAATCCAACATTAACAGTTCCTTTGGTGTTCTTTAAATACTAGCCTGTGGCGGTCCAGTTGGCAGCAAACAAGGCTTTGGTAAATTCCTTTGCTTTGACCCCTGATCTCTATGCTACTCTAAAAAATTTACACACTGGCCTCCCATTTAGAGAGTCAGAGAAACAGAACAAAATTGATTCCTAAAATGTTCAGAATTGTCCTAAATCTGTTTTTCCAAAAAAGGACAAAATAAGTTTGTAGCTGTAGGTAGACAAAGACAGTTTCTTCGAATTAAAGCAGTTGACCAAAATAAAGTCCATTCTTTCCAGAGAACATTTAGAAACAGTAATCCAGGCCATCATTACTACCCGGCTGGATTACTGTAATGCACTTTATGAAGGGAGTATTGGCTTCTACAATGCTGAAGTGCAAAATGCTGCAGCATATCTTATCTGGCACTCCTAACACATTACCCTATTTCAGCTTCATCACACTTGCTGCCCGTGTTGTAGGATTCATTTTAAAGTTTTGTTTTCTATTCTCTTCATGGTCTTGCTCCGCCTTATTTCTGACCTGCTGCACCCTCCTGTTTACTCAGGTCAGCTGCTTCTTCTGGTGCCTAAAACTAAAAGGAAGCTTGGGTGTCTAAGAGTCTACCTCTGTGTGATTTTAAATCACTTCTTAAAATCAACTCTATACCTTAGAACACTACATGGGATGTTGATGTTAGCCTGCGATATTAAATATTTTTTTGTTATATACATTTGTTTTTATAATTTTTTTTTTACTTGTGTTCTTTTAGCATTTTATTTAATTTAAATCCTCAGTTTGTGTATTGTGTTCTCTGTGCAGCACTTTGGTCCCTGGGAAATGTTAGTGTTTTATAAATATATTTGGATTGGATGTGATTTAAATTTTTTACTCACTTTTCATGAATATATATTTATTTAGGAACAAAGACTCAAAGCCATCCAACAATCAAACATTTTATTTTTGCAAATCAAATTAAAAAACAGAGCATCTGAGGTTAGAAAAGCATTTCAATTCCTTTTGAGTGGTTCAACTTACCATCCCTTTGACATTGATATTTCTCAACATCTTGCCGTATTTGTGGCTTTATTAAACCTCTAGAATAAAATAAGAGAATATTTAATTTATTAAACATAAAAGAGATAAGATCTAAGGATTCAGACAGCTCCTGGTCTGATCTCCTCCTGATCACATTGAAGTGTAATCTGTAATCAGGTCAGGTCGGGGGTTTAGAGGGTGCTGCTGTTGCTGCTAAACTGTGGCTTATACTGAACGGACAAAAGTAGCTCATTTCCAATGCTTTGCTTTCAAGTTAAGTCCAACATAGAAGTTTGATAAAGAAATGCTTTAGTTACACGGCAGGGATTTTCCTTATTGTGCCAGAATAGAGATCTTCTCCTGGGCAGCTTCTTTTAATTTTTTTTAAGGAGGTGTTTAAAGGTCCATCAGTGAATAGAGTTCAGTCCATGAGCCTCAGCTCTGAGATCGGACTCTCTGCAGTGTGGATTGGAGGCCGTTTCTGGCGTTTCCACATGACTCCAAGGATTTGTTGCTCCTGTGGAGGACAGCACAGAATTTTAACCGACAACTTAAACATCATCACTGCTGCACTACAGAGCATTGCAGAAGTATCATAGTACCACAAACTGTGATGTAGTTATTAAAGGGATTTTATTTATTAGGCCCCCACAAAGTAGTGCATTACTGTAAAATGGAAGGAAATGATAAACGATTCAAAGAATTTTAGAAATACATTTGGAAAAAAGGATTACATGCATTTATGTTCAACAAAATCTGAGGCGTTAAAAGTTTAGGATGTTTAATGCCTATCTGTATCTCAGCTTTGCTTCCTGGTTTTCATAATGTAATTTATTCACTAATGTTTTCACTTAAACATCCAAGGCCATCACAGACCAGGTGAATAAGCATCTTAAAGGTATAGTGTAGGATTTTCAAGAAAATTTTGAAAAGACCCGCCCTCTCCACTAGAAAAAAAAATGCACAAGTAAAACCCTGTACCCGCTACCAAGAGGGAATGCCTATTTAATGCATGCATGAGCATGCACAAGCCCATTTCTCCTCATGCACGCTCAGTTTAAAAGTTGCTGTTTGCATCGCTCATAAAAGCTTAATTTCTAAAGATTTGTAATTTTCCACTACTTCAGGCTTAAAATTTTAGGGCAGACGCGCATATGAAATATCCTAAAACCTCAGGAATATGTTAAAAAGTTTACTTTTTGTTCATATTACAAACTATTTTCTCATCAGTTTGCGATAGGGGAGGTATTTCTCGGCATAGGGTTAGGTGAAAATGGGGACGAGAATGTAGGACGGCCTTACGTACATATCACCAGAATGATTGACAATTACTTAGATGATCCAACACCCAAAAGAACACCCTCCACTATACCTGTAGGGAAGTTTTCATTCACCTTAAAGAAAACTAAACAATCATGTCTTTTTCTGCTTTTAGTTCTTAGAGGATACTGAGAACCTTTTAATTAATGATGATGAACCGCTTTCTCATGAAATCATCTAGTCAAATAAACAGTTTAGTACAATTTGTTGCAATGGGACGAAGTTTGTAAAAAGAAAAACATTTCAAGGGTTGTGACAACCCCACAGACTGCTGAAATACATCCCCTTGCTGCTGGATTTTAACACCCAAACCATAAAAACCCCTACAGTAAGCCACAGTTATTGAAGTGTCCACCACCATCAAACAGGGGGTTTGTAAACATTGCATTTTGTACCTGGAAGCTGCATGCTGATTGGCTCATTCACCATGCCCTTACCGAGACATGAACGCCTCGAGCACTGCCACGTTTTCTTTGGGGAAGTAGTCCTGCCGAACGACGTGCTCCAAGGCATGGAGATGACCCGGGACGACGAGCACGGGCTTGATCTTGTCCTCACTCTGAGCAGCGCAGAGGGCAGGATGGTGGGACGGATGGGGGGAACAAGAGGACAACTGAAGACCGGACAAAGCTAAATCAAACGTGTTGATGGTGTCCTGATAAAGCTTACCTTGATGAGCCCCAGAAGCACTAACAGGATGGACACGAAGCTGTAACCTTGAAACGAAGGACTGCTGAAGGCTTTACTCAAGAGGGCGTCTGGGAGGAGAAAACTTGTTTTAGCTGAGAAACTTTAACTCAAACTCTGAAACTACTAAATAACACACCACAGCCATGTTACAATGGCAGTTTTACATAGGGTTAACTTTATACGATGGAATTTTCCCGTGATTATACCACATAAACTACATCAAACAGTTGAGTAAAAATCTATTTAAAATAAAAATATTTCAACCATTTATTTCTAGGAGTCATTAAATGCCAAAAAAGATAAAACGTTTTTTAAAAAAAATGAATAAAAACATTAGGCCACATTGTGAATAAAAGCAGGAACCATACACCCAACCGAAGTTCATGCTTCTTACCAATCGTATCCAGCACTGCATTCTTGACATCATTAATATCCTCCTTATACACAGACGCGATCTTCAAGAAGGCTTCAGCTGTCTTTCTTGCATCGGTCACGTCCACCTGGATGGAGAAACAGATGGAAGCGTTTGTGGATTTTACTGCTAAGTTAGACTTTTCCACACTGAGGCCATGTTCACACAGCAGGCAATTGTAATTCTCAGTTCTGATGGTATTTCTTTGGTCTTTCATGTTTCCAAATGTTTCATATTTCCAAATGTATGCTACTTGTATGTCATCTCCTGTGTGAACTGAATTAATAATACTTAGTAAAGGGAGACATCACAAGTAGGGAGCGTGGTCTGCTTGCTAAAGTAAACATGGATGTTAATTCTGGAGCACAATTTGTGCTTTTAATTTCTTTTCCAACGGGCGGCCAAAGCATTAACAGCGCAAAATTTTTTTGGCCATTTGTGGGCCTGAATAGAGCTATACCCACAAATATTTTAAATCAGAAATTTTGCTTTCTCTCCATTGGAACAAAGTAGTCAAGTGCCCCTCCTTGACATGTGAACAAAAAACTTCCCAGATCTCTGAAAAATCACTTCTCGCTGCCTTACCAGTACCCATAGAAACCGTCCCAAAGCCTTTATTACATCATTCCCATGACATTTTTAATATTAAAGGGCTATAACAAGTCTCTCGTATTTATCTGTTTCAGAGATGCTGCAAAGACTCTTGAAGCGTGGCTTTTCTTTATAGCTGCAATGGTTTCCTCCGTAGGGTGGCTGGGCTCTCCCTTAGAGATAGGGTGAGAAGCTCGGTCATCCGGGAGGGACTCG